CCTAACCACCTGGCCATGCCGGGCCAGAAGCTTATGGTTCAAAATAGTTTCTGAAAAAATTCTTAACTTTATACAGCTCTTGAATGTACTTTGTTTTTTGTAGAAAGTAAGCGTTTGAAATTTCGATTTATAAGCATATAGAAAACGACAAATATCACTTATTATGTGGCAAAAGTGATTTAAACTAATTTTTGGAAAAAGGGCATTATTCTTTCAAATGGAAACTGTTTAGAGAAATTATTTTTCTTAAATATAACTCACGCAATTTACAAAACAACATATGAAGCTAAAATGTTCATCTTAGTTACAAGAGTTGTGTGCATGGATAATCTATAATCTATCATGAAGATTGGAAGGGTTCTTTTTATACCTTGAAACACGCAAGAATTCAAGACATATTTCCATATTTTAATCAGCCGAAGAATGCTAGTTCTTTATGTGCTTCTGCCAATTAAAGAATATGACAAGTTCACTACAAAGGTAATTGTTCCAGAAATCAAAATTCCTACCCTAAATGGAAGCTCCGAAAATATTTACAAATTGTGAAGAAATACTATTTGTCTCTATTTGTTTTTAACTTCACCAATAATATACAGAACTATTTACAATTGCAGTAAAAAATGTCACTTGTTTGTAAATGCGTAGGTTGCTTTTTAGACAATTTAACATTTGACAATGTTTTAACCTTCATATTCACCCCACACTGAATTTTTAACTTCAGTCTTCTTGTGTTCTTGATAAAAATGTAGCTGTAGTAAAATTGTTCTATAGTTACTGCTACTTCTGCAGTTTTGTTTCTGCGAGGAAAAACGGGTTAGTGCTTTTGAACATTTATTGAAAACCTTTAGACTTAATGATAAATAAGAAACGAAAACAAACATTTAACTTCTTAAGTGTGATAAAAAGAAACAACCTAAAAGGAATGTTCTGCTTTACCAATGTGAATCAGAAAATTTCTTTCGAAATCATAAACCAATTAATACACGCTATGAAACACGTAAGCAATAAAAATATTGAAAGTGGATTTAATTTCACACTTTGAATTAGTACGGTTAAAATAGAGGTTTAGTGTGGTAACCCTTGAGGAAAGCGGTTTGGTTTGTCTGAATTTCTCGAAATGCTACACGAGAACTATCTGCGCCACCAGTCCCTAACTTAGCAGTGATAAACTAGAGGAAAGGCAACAAAACATCATCACCTATCGCCAACTTTCGGGTTATTCTTTTATCTGCGAAAAGTGGGATTAACTGTCATATTATAACGCTCCCACTGCTGAACGGGCAAACATATTCGATGCAATGGGGATGCGAACCCGCGATCCTCAGATTACGAGTCGAGTGCCCTAACCACCAGGCATGAGGGAAGTGAACTAAAGCGAAGCTTTCAAAGAAAATTCTAGATTAAGCTTTTTACCACATAAATCTATACTGTAAAGAGTTTTATTTTTTTTTTCATATTTTTCTCTCCAAAGTAAAGACTAGTATATGTATCCTGAAACACGTTATATACGATCATTCTTTTGTAATAGAACGTGACCTGCATAAATGTGTACCTCGTATATTGGTCTGTTTCCTCCTGGTTGCAATGAAAATTTAGTTTTAATTTTTAGAGGTACTACAAGAGGCATTTAATTTCTGTCTTGTAAAATTAGTAAGACGTAACAAAACTATTAACTTTTACAAACTCATAGTACAAAAGTTAAAATGGACCACGTGTTTCACTTTGTGAAATTATCCAGAAATTGGCAAGTAGAAGTTAAACTTAAGCCCAGAGCAATATAGGTACTCTATGCTTATACACGAGAAAATTATTTTGTCCTCACAAGGGCTGGGTATGGCTAAGTGGCTAGCGTACCTGGATTGTGAATTCGAAATTCATGGTTCGCGACGCTGCACACGTTAGGCCAAATGCCGTTTTTGGTCAGCGAGAACAGGGTAGCCCGAAACTTGTGGTAGGTACTGTTGATAAATTGCCTAACCTCTTGTCTGTCAGTTCAAAATTAGTGAAGTCTATTCCCAAATAGTTGCCCTTGTGTAGCTTTGCACGATTAATCTAAACCAAACAGACTGTCATCTGAAAAACTTAACTTACTTCAAAATTTAAAAGAGTATGAATCAACAAAACAAAGAGAAGTGTAACAACCACTTTTATTGATCATGAATTTTAAAAAAGAGCCCTGTTTTAATGATTATTTTTCAGATCTTCCTACATAAGTCAGCGATGCAGCATCACGCTAGAGAGATCCATAGAGGAGAGATCAAGCCTCACCAGTGTCAGCAATGTCTAAAATCGTTCTCCTCTAATCATCAGTTGACCCAACACATCCGGGTACACACTGGAGAAAAACCTTACAAATGTTCATATTGTGACCGGAGGTTCAAGCAGCTGTCCCATGTCCAGCAGCACACTAGACTCCATACTGGTAAGACTGACCTCAGTCTAAATAATTATTTTTTTGTTTTTTTTATGCGATGAGTGTTCCGTACAATTTGGTGTCAAGAAATGTTCTAAGTAAGACATTGAAAGACGACGTTGCTGCTTTTATATGCCAAACGGATATGGCTTTATATAATAACAAATAAAAATTTTCCCACTTTCAGTGTTACATTGAAAAATATATAATCTTTATGGTACAGACTGTTCCTTGTAATATATTTCTGTTGATTGGTTATATATTTTACCAATTTGTAACTTTCTTAATCTATTTGTTTATGACATTTATTATTGTAGACTGTATTGTAAGGATAAACGCTAGGGTTATGTGGTAATTTGAATGCAATATATACTTGTAGATCTATCTATCCTTAAATTAGAATAATTTAAATGCAATACATGCTTGTACATCTATCTATCCTTAAGTTAGAATAAATCAAATAAGAGAAGATATGCTGAATACATAACAAGCAGTATTCACGTTAATCCAATACACATATTATTACTGGGACAACAACATCACATTTCCTGCTAGGGATGTTAGTATTCTCAAGAAACCTTTATGTTCACAGTTTATGTTCTAACAGTCGCCGAAGTGAACCTGAAGCAAAACTCGAGTACAATGTGCCACTTATTGATTCTCTCGAATTATAATTACAATGCTTCTTAGCCGACAGAAGTTAAATCAACTACTCTTGTGCATGATGAATGGTAAGTTAAAATTAAGTCTACTATCGGACTTAAGTTTCTATATTTACCACTTAATGTAAAGCTGCAGGCATTGACTCTAAAAGCAGAGAGAGACTCTGGAGCATGCATCACGTCCGGTACAGATGTGGTCTATACTTTTAGGTTAGAAGCATCATTTTCCTCTACGACACAGATCGTACTCAACACATCCTCTACTCTCACACTTGTTTCTTAGAAGTTGTAGCCTATCCAAGTTCAGGAAAATCTTCAAATTAATTTTCCAATCGCCTTATTTTGATATCTTGGGTGATCTGAAGTAGCTATAATCACCTCAGAATAATTGAATTATGATAGCTAGTTGATCAGTAAAGCTAACACTACTAGATATTCCCCATTTCTTACATATAGCAAGCTGTCAGACTTCCTGGTATCATATCATTGTCAGAGTTTCGACCCAATGTTTTCATAATTGCTCGATATTTATTATATTTGGCAAAATCAGAATCATCGTCTGAAAATTAGCGTGCAGAACTACCATTGTGATTATGACTTTCTATATGTCTACAGTGAGTGGTCTTCACATGTGTATAAATCAAATGTATGTTGTAAGAATTATTTAAAATGTTAAATTTTGTACGTCACAGTTTGGGACGAGCTACTTTATTATACACTGTATTCAAAATGTTATATTTTTATATAAATGAATTGGAAGTATTTTTTTAAGAAATCGTAGGAAACTGGCAACTCTTTACAATGACATTTTTTGCTATAACTATATGAATTATCCGAAACTCTTTCGTTTTCTGATAAAAATGTCTAGTTTCAAAATGGTTTCTGTTACTGTTTGGGAAATATTGTTGATATTAAAATTCAACTTTCTTTACGTTTACAGTAAAACTAATTACCTAATCTTAGCGTTTCATTTCTTTCTCCAGTACCCAGTTTCATGGAAATCTCTTAAGATCTTTTCTAAGTCAACACTTGATATCAAACTTAAGTAATTTTTTAAATATTTCTTCAGTTGTTTGCAAAGCTATCTTATGGATGTCTTTATAAAAGATGATTACTTAAAAAATATCTTAATAACAATGTATCGGAAACATATTGATCTTCTAAATCAAATTTGATTGTTAGTGATGATAAACAAAATTTGTAAAATAAAATGCTTTAAAGTTTGATCAATCACAATTTATTTTAGTTTTCAAAAATTTAACACTATTTCTTGTCAGAATTTGTTTCGGATAATTCTAATAGAGTAATTGTCTAAAACACTGTAAGTCATAGCATAATATTTCAAGCTGCGAGATTATTCAGTCTTGTCTAAGAATAGTCAATTTTTAATTGTCTAAAACACTGTAAGTCAGAGCATAATATTTCAAGCTGCGAGATTATTCAGTCTTGTCTAACAATAGTCAATTTTTAATTTTATAATACACTCTAAGTCATAGCATAATATTTCAAGCCGCGAGATTATTCAGTCTTGTCTAAAAATAGTCAATTTTTAATTGTCTAAAACACCGTAAGTCATAGCATAATATTTCAAGCCGCTAGATCATTCAGTCTTGTCTAACAATAGTCAATTTTTAATTGTCTAAAACACTGTAAGTCATAGCATAATATTTCAAGCCGCGAGATTATTCAGTCTTGTCTAAGAATAGTCAATTTTTAATTGTCTAAAACACCGTAAGTCATAGCATAATATTTGAAGCTGCGAGATTATTGAGTCTTGTCTAAGAATAGTCAATTTTTAATTGTCTAAACCACTGTAAGTGATAGCATAATACTTCAAGCCGCGAAATTATTCAGTCTTGTCTAACAATAGTCAATTTTTAATTGTCTAAAACACTGTAAGTCATAGCATAATATTTCAAGCCGCGAGATTATTCAGTCTTGTCTAAGAATAGTCAATTTTTAATTTTCTAAAACACTGTAAGTCAGAGCATAATATTTCAAGCTGCGAGATTATTCAGTCTTGTCTAACAATAGTCAATGTTTAATTTTCTAAAACACTCTAAGTCATAGCATAATATTTCCAGCCGCGAGATTATTCAGTCTTTTCTAACAATAGTCATTTTTTATATACTAAAGATAACTTTATCCTCATAGTAATTCCGTTCTATCTCAATAGCATGATACTATGTTAATGTTGTTTGGTGACTTCACACATTTTCTTTACACTAAGGGTAGTTATGTTTTATTAGTAGCTCAGTTCTTTCACCGGATGTATGAGTGCTCAGGATGCTATGTTAATGTTGTTTCTTGATTAAACAATTTGGTTTACACTAAAGTTAGGTATGTTATATTAGTGGTTCATTTCTCTCCCACCATTTATTAGTGCTCAAGATACCGTGTTAATATTGTTTGTTGCTACATATATACGTTATGTTTACACTGAGGATAGCTATATTTTATTAGTGGTTTAATTACTCTACAAGTCTATGGGTGCTCAAAATGCTGTAAATGGTGTTTATTGACTATAAATATGGTAGCTGTGATTCATTAGAGAATCAGTTCTGTTTCCGGACCTGTAAGTGCTTAGGATGCTGGGTTAGTTTTGTTTCTTGATTATACACATTTTCTTTACACTAAAGGTAGGTTTGTTTCATTAACGATTTAGTTCTTTCTCTCGATCTATGATAGCTCAAGATTCTGGGTTAATCTTGTTTGTTGACTATACACAGTTCACTTACACTAAGATTAGTTATGTTTTAGTAGTTCTTAAACTCTCCCTGCGGCTATGTGAGTCCACAGAATACGGGGTTAATGTTATTTGTTGACTATATACGTTTCGTTTACACTAAAAGTAGCTATTTTTTATTAGTGGCTCAGTTATCTTTCCGGATCTGCGAGTGCTTGGGATGCTGGATTAAAGTTGTCTGTAAATGTAGTGTTTCAGTTCTTTCTCCGGATCTGTTAGTGTTCAGGATGCTGGTTTAATGTTGTTGTTTTTACTACAAATATTTTCTTTGTACTAATGGTAGCTAGGTTTAATTAGTGGTTCATATTTTTTTCTAGATCTATGAGTGCTTTGGATTGTGGGTTAATGTTGTTTGTTGACTACACGCATTTATATCACGCTAAGGCTAATTATGTCTTAGCGTGGTTCAGTTCTCTGTTCGGATCTGTGAGTGCTCAAGATGTTGAGTTAATGTAGTTTTTGGACTATACACATTTTGTTTACATTAAGACTAGATGTATCTTATTGCAGTTTCAGTTCTCTCTCCGGATCAGTAAGTGCCAAGAATGATGTTTTAATAATATTTTTTACTATTCGCATTTGGTTTAGCGATGGTTTATTAGTGATTCAATTCTCTCTCCTGATCTCTGAGTGCTCAGGATGCTGTGTTAGTGTTATTTGTTTACTGTAAATATTTTCTTAACACTGTTGGCAGCTTTATTTTAATAGTGGTTCAGTCCTCTCTCACGACCTAAAAGAACACAAGATGCTGGGTTATTATTTTTTGTTGATCACACACATTCAATTTACACTAAGGGTGTCTGCATCTTATTAGTGGTTCAATTTTCCAATTTGATTTGTGAGTGCTAAAGATTCTGTGGTAATGTTGTTTGGTGATTACACACATATTCATTACAAAACGGGTAGTTATGGTTTATTTCTTTCTCCAGATCTGCGAATGCTCATGGTGCTATGTTAATGTTCTTTGTTGCCTTAACACATATTGGTTAAACTAAGGGTACTTATGTTTGAGTAATGGTTCAGTTCTCTATCTGTATATGTGAGAACTATAGATTCTGGGTTAATGTTGTTTGTTGATTATAAATATTATGTTTACACTAAGGATATCTATGTTTTATTAGTGGTTCAGTTCTCTCCCTTGATCTCTGAGTGCTCCGAATGCTATATGCATTTTATTTATCCTTATCGTAGCTACATTTCATTAGTGGCTCGGTTGTCTCTCTGGAACTTTGAGTGATCTAAATGCTCTGTTAATATTGTTTCTTTACTATAAACAAGTTGTTTACCATAAGGAATGATATGTTTTATTACTGATTCATTCTCTCTCCGCATCTGTGAGTTCTCAGGAATCTTTTTTATTATATTTTGCCCAGTAATCACAGTTTATTTAAATAAGTGTAGCTATATTATTTTAAGAAGTTCTGTTCTCTCTCCGAAGCTTGAGTGATTAGGATGTTAAGCTAGTTTTTCTTTGTTGACCATACAATTTTCTTTATACTAAGGGCAGTAATATTTTAGTAGTGATTCAGCTCTTTTTCCGGATCTGTGAGCACTCTGGATGCTGAATTAATGTTCTTTGTTTCCTCTACATTTTTTGTTTA